CTTTGTTGGTACATTTTATACCATTATCCTAGGACCTCACTGACTATAGCCGCTTTTATTAGTACTGCTTTCTATTATTATTCCAATTTCTCGCAATCAGTCGACTGGCATTTATACTTTCCAAGTCTTATATTTTGAAAGTATGATCTTTGTTTTATACCATTATCCTAGAACCTCTCTGTTTATGTTGGCTGTTTTTATTATTACTACTTTCTACTATTATCCGAATTTTTCTTAGTCACTTGACAGACATTTATGTTTTTCGAGTATTAGATCAAAGAAATACGCTTTATGGGGCTAGAAGCTATTTTCCAGCCCTATCTTAAGAGTGCTGCGTCCTTCTTTTTTATCTTCAAGGTCTTTTAAGATATTTTATACACTACAGTTTCCAAGTTTGTGCTGCATAAGGAATGCCATCATGAAGTATGACCAATCTAACCATACTTTCATTTTCTACATGTGAATGTAGTGTGTTTGGTAAGTTAGGTTAGGATATACCTGCGGTTATACGGATCCACTGACGTCTATTGGCGCATTGTGTTAACGTATTCTTATATATTTGAGTTCGACTTTCTTAACTCATAAGTTTAAAAACCATCTTGATTTTTTTGGCAAAGCTTGAAATTCTATTTAGAATGTTGTTCTGAAATTGACCAAGATCGTCAAAAAAGGAAGCCGTTAAAATAGTAAATTTAGGCATGGGATGCGCATGCATTAAGCATTAAGAAATCAAATATAATTATGTGATTATCGTTCTCTAACAGCTCTGACTGACAGTGACATCCATAATTTGCACCACTTAATCCAACTATTCGAAGAGTTGAGTTTTTAAATCCAATTTGTGCGACTGGCATAAAAGATAAAATGTTCTCCAGGCTGATTACTTCGTACGCTCTTAAATAGATATCTTTTATTCCGGATAGGCCAAGACATTTGCAAAGGCCAATCAATTGCCTGTATTTCTTCTTCTTTTTTTCAGCAAATTGAATTAAATTTGAGTACCTGACACAGCTAGTGATCTGTCAAAATCGCTACGATTTTAATTTAAGTTTGAATTTTGCGCATGCCACCGTTGTCGCATCATAATAAAGATAATGTCAGAAACATTTTCTTAAGTCACATATAATTATTGTAATAGAGAACCTTACTAGAATTTGAAAAAACAACAACTTATAGTAAAAAAATTAGCTTAAAAAGTGCATAAAGTAAAAACCTGTCTCAAACTATATCGTACCTTCAATCTATGGCATTTTTCCACTCACTATGTTTGCTACATTGTGTTTTATTGTAATTTTATGCAGATCGGATTCGCACCTACAAGCACGAAAAGACCCGTACGAGTATCTCAAAAATGCAAATAATTACGAATAAATAAATTACAGCCCGGACAGAGTGACAGTGATAAAAATAACGTGATAAAATTTCAAATTAACGATAATTTAATTATACTTTATTATTAATATTTGTTGTTAAATTGACAATTATAAATATCAATTTACATTTTTCTGTTGATAAATTTAAAAAGGCTTATAGCAATAATAAAATTCATTTTAATTGTTTTTTCTGTAGAATATAAAATGATATATGAAAAGCAAATAAACTGTAATTTTATTTGTCATCAGAAAGCAAGGACTTCAGTTATAATAAACTGTCAACAGTTGTAAAAATATTTTATTAAATTTTTATTAATAATAGTTTATGTAATTTTAATTTCGTATTTCGTGTTGAGTGAATAAACAATAATAAAAAATTAATGGTATCTGCATAAAATGTTTTAAAGTATGAAAATTTTACTACTGAAATAAAGTTCTTTAAATAAAAATAAATTTAAAATTTATTCAATTATACAATTATGTTATTTTTTTCAATATGTAATGCTTCTATAACAAATAGGTCTTGTTTTTATATATTGTATATCGTACTATTGAGATTTAATTGCATATCATATCTGTCAAGAATTGTGTTAAGTCTCAGTGACAAGTACTATACAAACTTCTTCATCTATAATACTTCCAAAGTTACTGACATACATAATTACTTTCTAAATTTTTCTAAGGAATACTTCTTCCGATGTTGTGAAAACCTTCCGAAAACCTTTCAGATTCTCTAAATCCTGGATTAAAATAATCCAAGCTCAATCAATTACTAACACTCTGGCTCTATTAATTTCAAAACATTTATCTTTTACACTCTACAAGCGTTATCATTATAATTTTAGAGTCTATAATTAATTCATTCATCGCACCTCTGACTCTCAGACTTAAATCTAATTCAACTAACTAAATATTAACCGTCATTTTTATTAATGGAATTACCGGATCACTGATTTAATTTTTGAACAGTTTTTCCTTAAAAACCGGTTTTTACATACTGAAGTCTTATACAGAAGCTTAAGTTGTGTTCGACTCATTGAAACAAAATATATGTATTAAGTGTTCTAGTTTTAAAGCGATTTCGATAGACCTGTGTCGGAACAACTGACAATATAATAGTTTTCCTGCCACAACTAAGTACGGTACAATATTTTGAATGATTGGTAATCAATTTTATAGAAGTATACAGAATTAAAACAGGGAAAGTCACCACATCAGTATATTGTGATCACATCTCCATAACGTGATCACAGCACTATAATGTGATGCTACATAACCAAAAAATTTCTCTTGCAATAAAACCAAACCATGAACTGTTGTGGGATTTATGAGACCTATTTATTGGTATCACTACTTTAACACATCTATATCTTTAATTTTATACACAAAATAAAAACCCTAAAATATTCAGGGTTACCAATGCCCTAGAATGCATATATATATATAGTTATAATCGCATTTTTGTATTTGATTTAATGTTTGCAAAATTAATGGAAATTAAAATTTCCAGAAGTGAACATTAGTGACTGTCAGTCTTTGCTTTTTGCCTCTAGTATTAGTGGTACCTTCTGCTTTGTCAGTAAACGGGTTTTTAGTTCTATATTTTTCCCCGTGTATATACTACTATAAGTGGGTCATTTTTTATCTGCATACTTAGTTGACTCTTCCCATCTGTACATATAAAAACCAATTTAACCAATTACTATAAATTGGACTTTATTCAATTAGTATATAAGAATAATTGATTGCAATATTATAATATTTTTTTTTGTACGAAGCATTAGCAAGCCCCGAGGTCATTTTTTACTAAATATAATATAAATTAAGTTATGAGCTTTTATAATAATTACTTTAATAGAAACATTATTTAAATTA